TGAACAGTTAGCCAGGTATGGATGTTGTTGAGAGACTGTAAGCACATTTCATGTGTGTGTGTTATATGTGTGTGTTCTTGCATGTGTGCACGGTACACACACGGCTCTGGTGAAGAATTGAGCAGACCTAACCTGGGGCTTCCACTGCAGCTGGTAAACATCGAAGGGAGACTGAGGAAGTTTGCAGCTCAGTGTTAAGTCTCTGTGTGTGTGTGTGTGTGTCTTGGGGTCGGCAGTTCTCCCAAAGGGGGGGCTGTTGAATCACCAGACAGGAAGCTATTAAAACGGGCCGAACACTGCAGCTGTCAATCAAAATGAGTGGCATCACAGTCAGGTGTCAGGCAACCACAGTATGTCACAAACAAACAGAAGGTTGGCCGGGCTTTTTCTGCTGCCAGACCTTTCCGTGGCGGTTGCCAAAATGAGAACAGTCTTTGCTTTAAGAACTTAAAGCTCCTAATGGTGACTTTGAGGTGTGTCCTAAACCAATCCTCAGGATCAGGATTGGAGCTTATTAAGGGAATAATTATGTGATGTACAGAGCCTGATTAATTTACAATCCGTTGTTTGTTGTCACCCATTTTACTCTGAGGATGCAAACTGTCTGACTCTCTTTGTCAATTTTTATACAGCTTTTTATTTTATTTTTACATTTTTCAAAAATATATCTATTTTAGCTATTTCTCAAGTGCACCACACGTCCAGAGTGCTGCTTTTGGTTAAAAATGTATTTTTATTTTTTTATGTTCGTGATGGAACTGAACAGAGGCTGTCAAACTCCTCCAGTCCACAAAAGGGGAAGGCATATTTTCTTAATGGAATGCACTTTTGCTGCAAAAAAACCCCCCACAACCAGCGTGCTTTGAAAATGCAGGCAACAGTGCATTTAAATCCTAAAAAGCTGGTTCTCTGAAATGCTGAGGCTAAGTACCAAGGCCACCACTGCCAAGGTCTTGATTTGGCAGCCCAGATGCTGCAGAGGAGTTTGGCGCTGAGATCTGCAGAACGCACTCTCCCTGCCTTTGGTCAAATGTAAACAATAGTAGTGTCTAGGGATGGGGATCGTTGGTTTTTATTGATATTGATACCCTTATTGAGACTGCTTAACGATTCGATTCTTTATCGATACTTTACTATAATTTCGTGACGGTTATTTGGTAAAGACGAGAGCCAATGGGCATGAGGTAGGCCTGCACCAGGGGTCGGCAAATAAGTCTGACTTCGGGCCAAATTTTTCAAGCCATTACGTGGCGGGCCAGAACATTATTTCAGTCAAATTATTTCAAACCCTTGGATACTCGTGCACGTTTAGCTCAGTGGGTAGAGTGCGGGACTCCCGTTGGAAGAGTTGGAAGATCGATCCCAATATCCTCTAGACTTTTTTTTTTCTCCCTTGTTAAACAAATTGATTAGCCTATAAGGACACTTTTGAACACTTTTGCTCTCAATAAACTCAACATGAAGCATTGCTGCAAAAAACGTTTTTGTGCTTTTATTTTGGAGGCACAATCACTTAAGAGGAAGTGATTATGTGAGTAATTGTTGCTGTCATGACGGAGATCTGTTTCAGCACCAGCCGCTATCAATTTATTCATTTTTAATTTTTCTGCTATCAAAGCAATCTGACCGCGGGCCAGATATTATTGCGGGCGGGCCGGTTCTGGCCCGCGGGCCGCCTATTGCCAACCGCTAGTCTACACGGCATGAGGAAAATATTCAATGTGTGATAAAGTTGTTATATATTGAGATGAATTATGACTTGTGATAAATAGCCTAAACATAATATTGAAGTGCGCATAGCTGCCTGGCTGTTTTTAAATAAATTATAGGATTAGAATTTAATATTTTAAATAAAGCTAAATATTGTTTCTAGAGCAGCAACATTAATGTTTGCAACAGCAAAGTCACGTTTAGAAATCAGTCTGGATCAGTCCCTCCTCTTCCTCCTCCTCACTGCCTGCAGGTGACGGTAGCCTACCTGATGGAAGGAGGAGCGGCTGGTTTGTCTCAGCCAGCAGCTGAGTTTTTAACAATGTGCCAAATTTTCAGACTTGACAGAATGAACCCTTTCTACATGTTTACCTTACAGACAGGTGCACTGATAAAGTGCACATAACGAGCGCCGCTGTCAGCAACTCACTCGAGCGTTGGGAGCTTAACTTCACCGTCTCCACAGCGTCTGCGTCTGTCTTTGCAGGGCGCTGTGTGCGTGTGCGCGACAGAGAGCAGCAGAGGCTGCAGCCGGATGATAGACAGTCCCGGGCCCGTTTGATACCACGTTTCGTTGCCGTCAATGAATAAACATTAGTTTTATTATCCATTGCGTTTCAAGTTAAATCAAATTTGACGCTCGAGACGTAACGTTACATTATGGGACCCGCTAGTCTCGACAGCGGTATTGATAAGCTCGGAACTTTTGGAACCGGGTCCTTTTTAGAACCGGGTCTCGATCCCCATCCCTAGTTGTGTTCTTGCCATCTGCCCATGCGATGTTTTGCAGCATGTTTGACCTGTAAATAAGGAACACATGTTGTCTTTTTCAGCTGCAAAGATATTCTGTTTTGGCAAACTGAGGAATGTCCAGTCCCCACCCTGAAACATGTTCCATTAACGTTTCTCCAGCCCTTGCCGGGCCCCTGTTTCAGTAAAATATTCCCTTTCTGTGAGATCCCGCATACATTGTATTTGTATTTCCAAACTACATGTACCCCATTTTTATACAATATAGAACGGTGTCTTAATTATGTACAGTCTATAGCTAAGGGCTTTTCATTTTTGCTGCTTAGGGAGACAGTCACTTATCATCGCAGAGCCCGTTGAATGCAAATTCAGAAATAATTGGAGCTCTGTGATAGATGGTCTTTTTTTAAGGATGGTTTGTGTGTCCGTCACCAGCTCTTCCTAGCAGCAGAAAAGATACTTGACTCAACACCAGAACTCCATCTTTTTGCAGTGGCCCTTTACTGCTACTCACTCAAAGCTAATGACCCATTAACCTCCCATATTACAGTGATGGATTTGTTTTCACATACTTCACTTTTACATCTTATTTCTCAGCCCTAAGGGCTGTTGTTCGATAATGCTTTTTACAGAAAAGCTTTTCTTCTGAATGGCATCATTTATGTAACACTCATAATTGGTGTTTGTGCATCATACCGGGCACCACGCAGCCTGAACTTTCTCAGGGTTTGTTGCAGTGGCAGAGAAGCACGAACAGCATGAGAGGACGGCTACATTAACTAACATGTGGTCTCCTTTCAGTTCAGGTTAATTTCACCAAAATAACCCAATACATTTGGCAAGTAAGTGTTGATGTATATGTAGCTACAACACATATAAGTCACTGTATATACTACAGTACATATGGGGGCATCAAAATACACCATGGAAGAGGGCTTGACAGGTCCACCTGACTGAGACCTGAACTGGTACCTGAGTTGGGCTGTGTCAAAAGTACATTCAGTTTAAATCTGGTCAGATATATGCATTTATTTGTAGTACCTGAGTAGCTCTGACATCTGATTACGTGACGCTCCAGCACATGGAGGAAAATGTGTTTTTTTTATGTCAGATGAAGAGTGTGGTTTGTAAAGTTAAGGAAAAATCGTGGCTGCTTGTTAATTTGTGGTGTTGTTCTCTCTCTGTTTGGGTATTTCGGGATTCACCACTCGTGGGGTGTGTTTGAATCAGGTCTGACTGACCTCTGGTCCCTTTTGGATTCTTCTTTTTTTTTCTTCCTCTTTTTTTGAAAATGAATTTAGTCAAAAAAAATTGAGTAGTATATTTCAGATCAGATCCAACAGTTTAGACCCATGAAGACCACTAATCCATATATCCCTTGTGTGGAGCTACTTTCTAAAATTGTAGCAGTTTGTTGTAGGAGTGTTGGCAGTTTGGTCCAGGGCATGAGCAGGATGTAACATTCACTAAAAACGTATAATAGTTCAGGTTTCCCTTAATAAATGGAAAATTCCAAATATAGAAACATTCAATTCATTTTCTGAATTGCTCATCCACAGGTTAATTTGTTTGCAAAGGCAAAAATTGAAATTGCTGTTATGCATCAGGCCATTTTCCTACAGTAGAGGATGGAATATTGATTGTGGAGCAGGCAGGCAGCTACCTTGTCCTGGACAGTTTGTCCTTGCAGTCTACAGAAGATTGCTGAGCTCTCATAGGGAATTGATGCAAAGGTCTGAAAGCGCTCAAAGCAAAGTGTCAGATTTTAGAGACGCTGGACATTTTGTATTCGTAAAAAAGAAATTGCCTTCTTCTGTAATGTAGTGCTGTTTCAATGTACTGTACCAGTTTGTGAGTACAGGCTGCGCTGTTAGGCCAGTATATTTCAAAGAAAGAAGAAAAACCAAATTTGACCACAGCGAATCATCTTTACTTCATCCAGACTGTCGGCACAAGTAGAAGAATCATGTATACCGATGCTGTGTTTTTGTGAGATCATTACTGGAATCTGGAGATGATTAGTACCAAACATCAACATTAGGCATTGCTCGTGATGACTAAGCTTCATGGGTTTAGTTTAAGGTTCAGTGCCCATGTGTGTAGCTGAATGTGTATTGGTGATAAAATTTTAACATACAGCACTTTGGCAGAAAACTCTGCCCTAGTTCTGTTGGAAAGATTGGAAAGTAACGCCACTGACTGCAGCAGGGGATCATAGTAAACTATGTTACATTTTTCTGTACAGCACTATTACAAATCACCATTTTCAGACACGTGTGCATTGAGGACAGTGACTAGTTATTATCAAGACCTCCACAGACGCTGAGGATGGTGTGGCCCTGTGGTAAACAACTGTGATGCAGATGGACTGGGACTTTAATTTGAACACATTCTGACTGTTAAAACATTGCCTCAGTCTCAGAGGGTGGGGATTTATTGCAGAAAAACTTCAGACTGTATGTTTTTAGACTTTCTGCCTTTTGGGGAAAGCTTCAGGTCAAAGCCATTTTTAACTCACTTCTCCCCTGCTGCTTTTCCAGGTGGAATATTGGCAGATACTCAGGAGGGACCTCGGAGACGCACATTTTCCACTATGAACCGCGCCTTCAACAGGAAAAAAGGTGAGCAGAAATAACAAATGCTCATTTAGCTTATGGAGTTTAGCTCAGTCTGTTGTTAGCTACAACAGGCGGCACAGACTTTTTTTTTAGACATCTGACAGAGTAACACTTCTCAGATCGCTCTGTTTGGAAACAGACGTTTTATTAGTTGCAATACAATAATGATATTAAGTTATTTTATCACTTAGGCTACTCGTTCCTGGACAATAATAAACACTCTTAAGTGTTAATGGACATTGCACACTTATTATGTTTAGTGTACTTGTCGGTAGGAGCACTACTCAGCCTGTGGAAACTCTGAAGGACTTTTCCAGAGTTTGAAAAACTCCCTGACTCACTGCCTCAGGCTTCAAATTTTAAACTGAATGTCTCTGTTACTGTGGGGTTTGAAAGAAGTGGGTATTTAGGAGGCGAAGAGGGTCTAATGGAAGATGCTGTCCGGTTGTGGGACATGTAGGATCCACTGTTTGTTCCACAGCTTTACCCATTCTTGAGAGGAACAGTCAGGTTGGTCCTCTGTTGCTTCAGTTTTGACCCTTCTGATCTGTCCCTTGTGAGTCCCCCAAACATATGGAAGTGTAATACTGTGTCACTGGAGTGCCCCTTTACGATATTTCAAGAATTTATTTCAGTATTTCTGGTCTAAAACTTCTAACTTCATGTCTTCATCAAGATAGTTTTTTTTTTTCTTCTTTTGAAGGGAATACATAACAGATGCAAGCACGCCTGGACTGATTATGAATCTACCATGTCTGAACTTCTTCATTTTAGCCCCATACTATTCATTCATTTGGCGGGACTATAAAGTCTTCACACATGAAGGCACCAAATGAAAAAAACAAACAAACTGTGTGATGTTTATTATTTTGGCTCATGAAATGATTCCTTTTTTTTAGATAAATATCATGTGCGATCACTGTGCAACTTTAAAGGCTGTTTGACTGGCACTGCTTGCACTACAACAGCCCTAGCATAAAATGATTTATTTCCATAAACCTGTGAAGGACAATAGCCAAATTACACAATCAGCAGTCCCAACAGCATAAACGTCCTGCCATACATTTGCGTAAGCATTAGACAGTTAAGGTGGTTGTACAACACCACAGAGTCTCCAGGTGACCCTGCCCGAATCCAGTGGAGGGGGTATTTGGGGCTGCAGTTTGCAAAACAGCTTGATGTGTTTACCACCATCTGTCCCACTCCCTCTGGTGTGAATCAACAGACGTGGAGAAGCCTTGGACAGTGTTGGGGAAAGGGTCCAGGGCCCAGGTGGTGTGCCCAGCTTTAATGATATTTGGGTGGTATTATTCCCTTTTTCTCATTAAGCTCCTCTATTTTAGAGAGCTAAAGATGGTGATGAGGGAGGGCAGATATTCCTTCCTCACCACCTGGCTCAGAATGGGCCTTTGGGGGGTGACTTCACGCGACTATGAGCCTGATCAGTACGCACACAGGAAAGGCAATGAGTTATAACATTAAATAGTAACATTTATTAGGATTAACTGCCTACAAATAGTTTATTAGTTGAGATTCAGCTGTTTCACAAAAAAACCTTTGTCTGATGTTAGCCTACACCACTGTGGTGCTAACGTTAGTGTATTCATTATAATTTCAGAGAATAGTTTAGGTTACGATTAATTCCAGTTAGACAAAACAGCAGTTTTATTTTTGTGGGTTGTTTTCAGCCATTAAGTTGTTGTGGTCATTTGGTGGTCAGTCTCTCATTTGTTTATGCAAAGTACTAACTTGTTATTAATAAAAACCGTGCATACAGAACAACGGGTTCAACATTTTGAAAGTTTGCTGTAGTGCCTCAACCTTATTTTAATGTCCCGCGTACTCCAGGCTGTGATTGGTCGGTTCACAAAAAGGGACTTTGACGAGCAACTTAATGCACACGGTTGGATGAAACGCTTCTAATCTCCCTGCGGAGATTAGCAGACAGGCGAGAACGGTAACAGGTGAGTGTTACATAGTGCCCAGGAACCTGATCTGGAGAGGGCAGAGGAGAGAACTGACGCCAAATTGTAAAATGTAAAAGTGACAGTACCGGTGAATTCTGGCACACTTCAAGCACAAATATTGTGAGAAATAAAAGGAAGTCATCTCTCCCGTTAGCGCTAGCTTCGTAGCGGAGCGTTCAGGCACAGTCAAACCAACGTAAAACACATTCGGAGAGCATTTGAAACACTTTTTTCTTTCATTCTGATCATTTTGGAGCTGGGGATTTTCCTTTAGCGCTCGTTAAAACCTCTTTGGAAAAACCCTGTCCTCCCCTCACATTACATTTCCCTTTAATTGCACGTCATGGAAATTCAGCTCCATTACCTTCACTTTAACTGGGATTTTTATTCCTGTGAACTAGCTGATTGTGAGGGCATGTTAGAAAAGGTAAATTATAGCTGAAACAAGGCTCCATCTTAAAGTTGACTTTGCCAGCAGCCAGATAATGAAGGCCCCTGCAAGAAGGAAAGACAGTTAAACAGACAATAAACTGTTCTCTCAACAAATGCTCCCAGTCAGGCTAGCACACACTGTCCACCGATTTGCAACGGTGAGGACCTGCAAACCTCGATTCACCCATCTGCCATAAAAAGAGTACAAAACCTTCCTGACCTCCAATGTGGGCTGTTGCATCTAAAAGCCAGCAGGCGCTTTACCCCTGGATGTTTCTCTAGATTTGATTTTTACATTTGAGAGTCAGTGAGTGGCAAATGGGGCCAAAAGGTCCACAGCAGATATAAGTATAAAAAAAGCTGCTCCATCCCAGTAAAATGAAAACTTTCCGGCTTGAACCATGACATACAAAGTACTGGAACCATTCATGTGTGAGCATACGATTTAACTTTATTTCAGAGACATAGGTCCATATCAGTAAAAGATATATCTTGCTACTTGGATGCATGCACAGCGGAACTTTTAATACAAGACGTTTTAATACAAAAAGCTGAATGCAGGCAAATATGAGGTTTGAATGAGCTGTTATCTGCTCCTGATGAAGATGAGAAGGAGATAAGAAGGTGCTCCTCCGGGTAGGGCTTTGAACCATATTAGTTTAGACCAGCCCCGTAGATTGGCTCTTGTCTCATTATGCAATGATTTGATTCCTTTGAAAACAAAGACTTTTTCAATTCCTTACCAAACTTGACTTCAGTGGTGGATGAAACGTTCCCATCAATCGGAAATACCCTCCGATATGCAACGTTTTATTTGCAGCTGACAAACCTCCCGCAGGGGTTGAACAAAGGTTTACCGGCAAATTTCACATTAGAGTAAATTAATCAGTCTCTGCTGAACTTGTAATGCAACTAACATTATAATAGGATAATTGCCTTGTGTTGCTGAATCTGTTCAATTGTATTTTGTTAAAATTTATATATACACATAAGTGGGTACTCTGTTTTCTTACTGAATAGTCAGTCCAACATGTGTATAAATGGCCGACAGTTTTCATTTCTTTATCATTGTTTGGACCTGTTCTGGCGGCCTCTGCTTGTTTTGGCTGCGAGAGTGAAGGCTGGCACTGACGACAGGCCCACTCCACTGATTTACCTCCCCCTTTATCTCTGAGCCTGGCTGTGTTTTGTGAACTTGATCACGTCTAGCAGGTAATGCCAACAGGGATCTTGATCATTTTTATCTCCTATGTCTATTGCCCCGTGCTCTTGGACGTGTTTTGCACTGACTAGTTGGACAGAATTCATGTGCACCTCTTTTTGTTGAGCCACTCAGCAGCAGTTTAGAAAACAGAAACTCCTCTAGCAGATAATGTACCATACCAGTAATGCAACCTACTATAACCTCTTAAAGAGGTTGCATAACTTTACAGTTGGCGACCTTGTGAATACTGAATAGTATTTACACTCAGTTGCCAGTTTATTGGGCCACCTTGCAGAACGAATGCAATCTTATTCAAGAGTCCAGCAACATGTCCCACCTTCTTGAAGGTTAAAACATTCAGTTTTTGTTGGAACTGTTATTGAGAGGTGTTGATTGAACTTTAATAGGTAGGTAGGTTTATTGTCACAATATAACAAGTTGTAGATTGAAATTGTGTTTTGTGACTCCCTCCTGCTACATAGCAGTCAATATTCATTAAGATAGAATCAACTATAAAAAATGGTAACAGAAATAAACTATAATCACTGGAGCGGTGCTGAGGATGAATTAGAGTTTAAGAGCCTGATAGTTTGGGGGGAAAAAGCTGCTCTGCAGTCTGGTGGTGCAGCAGCAGAAACTTCTGTATCTCTTCCCAGAATGCAGCAGGGTGAACAGGCTGTGGCTGGGTGGGTTCTGTCCTTTAGGATCCTTTGGGCTCTGCAGGCACCTCACCGATATCACTGATGCTCAGCAGATGGGTACCAATGATCTTCTGAGCAGTTTTTATCACCTGCTGCAGAGCCCTCCGGTCCTGGGCCGTGCACATCCCGTGGCAGTTTGTGATGTTTCCAGTCAGGATGCTTTCTGTTGCTCCTCTGTAAAAGCTGACAGGAACTCGGCACAGGAATTTGGCCTTCTTCAGCTTCCTCCAGAAATACAGGCGTTTCTGAGCTTTCTTCACCAGCGTGGAGATGTGAGACGACCATGTCAGGTTCTCTGTGATGCTGATTCCCAGGAACCTGAAACTGTTCACCTGCTCCACCTCAGCTTCCTGAAATCAACGATCAGCTCTTTAGTTTTGCTGACGTTGAGCAGTAGGTTGTTCTCTGAGCACCACTTATTAATTTCCTCCTGATAGATAGTCTGAAATCATTGACGTAAATAACTGACAACTGAGTGCAGTTCATCACCTCTATCCCTAGTTTCACTCTGACTGATTCACTGTGTTGTAGTTACTTTGCCTGAAATAGCAAATATAGTTTATTTATTCATTCATTAGTCTCAGCTCTTCTCCTGTCCTGGTTTTCTCTGACAGCTGTCGATGGTCTGAAAGCGCAAACCACTGACCACCTGCTTATTGTGTTATGTCACTTATTCTATGTGTCAACTGTTGTTTAGTG